GAAAAGAAAAAGAAATACAGCCCATCTGATGGTAAACGTTTACCGTAGCCTATGGAATGTCACTTGCACGTTAGCGACCCTTAAGAAACCTCATGCTTCCTAAACAACCATGTTTCCAACATTAAGTAGAGTTGACCTCCGCATTTACTCTGCGTTGTAATTTGTGTAAATTGAAATATTGTTGTTTTAGGTCATAATTGTAGTGTCATAGTGTAGTGTATTAAAAATAAATTATAAAATCTATTCTATTCTATTTTAGTCCCTAGAGAAAACATAACATACAAGTATTTTACTTTATTGTCGAAAATGCCATAACCACAACGCTCCGAAATTCAAATATTATCATGAACAATAAGTACATACAAAAAAATCTGGCATACCGAATGCAACAGTCAACAATCTTAAATGTATGTTACAACTCACTAATGTTCATTATAATTAGGGTGAGCAAGTCGGTACGTCATTACCAAATAACGTCTAGTGTTGAAGTGTACAGCGACAAGGGCAATAACCACGGCCAGGCGTTGTATGCAGGGTTGTCAACAGAACAACACCTAGCATTGTATGAGGAAATAAGATATCTAATAAAATATCGGATATTAGGTGTATTTACTTCGTAGTTGGACAGTTTTTTGTAGGTGGTAACTAGGAAGCCGTCTCGGACAATGCGGTTTCAGAGGAAGTTCTTACCGCGCGCACTTAGATTGTGGAATGAACTACCTGCCGAAGTTTTCTCTAGAGACTACAGAATGGGGGTTTTTCAAGAAGGGTATGTTAAGGTTTCTGAGGTTTCAGGGTCGGACGCTACCAACACCAGGGGTGTCAGATGCGCTGACACCCCTGGTGTTGGTAGTGTCCATAATACGGTCTACAATAAGCGTTTACAATTAGATGGGCCGTATGCTTGATTGCCATCCTTGTGGTTAGAAAAATGGTCAGAATCTCGTCCGAACAATGACGAAACTGTCTTCGTATCGAAGCCCAAAATTTCTTACGGTTGGCAACCCTGGCTATGAGGCAGTCTGCGCGTGCGCACGCCATACCTTTATTGTTGATGCACCGCTCTATTGCAGTTGGTTAATGTTGCGTAATGTGTTTGGTTTTATAACTAGTTAATATGCCTTAACTTGTGAATAGATGTTACATTATGATCTTAAAATATTTAAGATCACTCTGCAATGCAGCCTGTAACAAGCATCAATCAAATCATAATATCTTTATTCATGTAGCTCCATTACATTATTATTGCATACGCATTTTACATACGTCAAATTTATCGTCAGTTCGGAGTGCTTTCGTGTTAAGAACTGATTTCTTATATAAGAGAGAATAAGAGCTTGTACATGATTACAAACATACAGATTTATGTTTAACAATAAATTAAAGAACAATATTAAAAGATCATGTCTCATAGTCATTACAACCAATGTCTTAAGCAGCTATTGGAGTAGAGTCACTTTCTTTCAAATTAATAAAATAGGTCGTCGTTCGAGGTGGATGTGTGGTGTGACAAGGATGGATAAGATAAAGATGATGTCAGAGAGGTTGAAGAGTAATCGACTATCATGGTATGGACATGTAATGCGTAAGAATGAGGATAATATTTTAAGAAAGGTGTTACATATGAATGTGGATGGTTATAAGGGCAGAGGAAGGCCGAAAAATAGATGGATGGACTGTGTGAAAGATGATATGGTAAGAAAGGAAGTAAATAACGAGATGACTGCGAACAGGGATGAATGGAAGCGAAAACCATATTACGCCGACCCTAAATAAATGGGATAAGGAAGAAGCAGATGATGAGGACGTAAAAGTAGGACAAAAGTTCAATAGCTAAAATTAGTTTATGAGATTTAGAATAAAAAATGTAAGTTATTTACCGTGGAATAATATGAGTATGTTCAACAAGTATTACAATATTACCTGTTTAAAGTATAAGTAGGTAGAACTGTTCAAGAATATTGTAATATTATAGATGCGATAGAAATAAACATGTACGCTATAAAATGTATTGATCATAATCATTTACGGTCTTATTACAAAAAATCTGTTAAAACTCGGACGAAACGTGGTCTAAATGGTCGTGGTTTAAACCATTCCTAAAGTTAATACTTGGAATAAACCTAACATTATTACGAATCCAGATCTAACAGAGGACTACTTAGTACTACAGTTAAATCGTTCATTATGTATTCCATACAGAAATCAGTCACTCATGTCTGTCACCGTACAATTACGTTCCATTTTACCAGAAAACTGAAAAGATCAAAAATAATATTAGTTCAAAGAAAAATGTATAAACTAAAAATAAATTTATTTCTATTTATCTAGGTCTTCATTATAACTATTTCATTAATATATAATATTTATTAATGTACTATTAGGCTGAAAATCAGTTTTAAATTACAAGTAGGAGTCCTATACGGAGGAAAGGAACGGCGAGATATTTTTATTGGATCGTTCGAATGGTGACTATTTCAAAGTCAAATGAGTGAAAAAATAACAAATAACGTCTTTTATATATTTTTATTATCGTAAAATTTGCTTTAAATATTTTTAGTTAATATATTTTTAATTTAGTTAAAATATTTTTCCAAAAACTACAACTAACAATAGAATTTTTAAAATGGAGTTTGTATTTTTGCATTTAGACCACTGTTAAACTAGGGGCATCGCAGGTCTAACTTTAGACTATAGACGAATCACGATTTAGAGATAAACTTCATTTTGTAATAAGGAATACATTGGTGAATGGTTTATTACTAGTGCTAAACCAGGTTTATCTTTTTGTAATAAGGCCGTTAATGTTTAATTGCAAACTTGTTTTGCTCTTTTAAGACATAATCAGACGTTTATTTTCATTTCTGGCATATCTGTAGTTGGTACAATAAAATGAGTACGACATTCTCAATAAAATCAATTGAAAATAGTTGAAGTCAAGGTTCTTGTCAATTCTTCTGGGATCAAACATCATTTAGAACTGACGGTAGAGCTCACACATCTATAAGTGTATGTTATAGTTATAAATGTGTGTTAGCAATAAAGATATATTCTATTCTATTCTATTCTATTCTATTGTGGTTAAGGAGAATGTTAGTAATGTGGACTAACTATTCCAATGTACCATATCCGGCTGAGCTCGATACGGTTCCCCCTGGAAACCATCCTGATATATATTCCTGATGAATATGTGGCAACGGGCTAACTGACCTGTCCTCATGCTCATTTCATTATCCACCACTCGTGCCCCACCTGTTAGTGGGCCGTTAGGGTAGGCGGGTGTACCATTCCATTATCATATATTTATAAAATAGTCCTACATGAATATGTAGACTTGATTTTAAAACTTTAAGATCTTCTATTAGATAATAAAATCGTCTAGATACAACGAGATGTCTCTGTCTACTGTCTGTAGAGAAATCTTATAGCACACTATAAGATTTTTTGATATGGGGCCAAAATCATAAATTTTTCGCATCTGCCTAATATTAGAACTTCACACTTTATTTTATAGACTTTCGGATTTCAATTCTACAAATCTATGTAAATAATATAAACTAGTATTTAATTGCTTCGTAAAACTCGTATTAAGTAAACAAATTTAATTTTACAACCACGGTAGCCAGTATACTGTCGCCGTAGCGATGAACGCAAAACTTGACATGTTTATAGAAATAGTAATCTTTAATCAAATAAACTTAATATAAGCAAATTTGAATAGCCATATTTCGCAGACTCATCACAAGAAGAACGACCAGAAAACTTGCGTGTTGCTCTTTTATATATATGTTGTTTTAGATAAATAAACATTAACAAAGAGGAGACATGTGACAATTTACAGATGTATTTTAGACTGATTAGTTTTTGTAATATATCCAAATCCATAATGGCTTAAACCTACCACTGCGTCTGAGATCGATTGGTCTACCAGGGTTTCAGTTTGTATTACCGGAGCTTCGGTCAGAAATGTAAATAAAGACACAAAAATCTTTGTGTCTTTATTTACATTTCGGACGATCAATGGTCAATCTCATGATCTCTGGAACCCAGTTCGGAATAGAAAATCACTAGGCTATGATGTACAAAATGAAAGAATAATGAAGATTGTATTATTACTCCGACACCCTATGAAGAATATCATCATTCGCTCTAACTATTTTTCTATTGGAGGTGAGCCTTCCTGATACTTTTACGCCACTATTGGCGGTTTTGCCTCATCTCTGGTGTAGCACCTGGGGTGGTTCTATCCAGCAGGATCTTGATCAGGTCGGCGGACGTTCTTTATCCCGCTCGCCTTCGACGATGGCCAACTCGTTGCTGGTTTCATAGAGAATACGTTTTAATCAAATAAATTCTTAACGTAACAGTTTTAATTATATACTCGAACACTAATTCGTCTCGGCTTAGTTTTTTATCTCACATCATTTCATCAACATTGTAATAGATAGGTACGTTTTCATTATGGCACTATTAATGATGTTAAACAATGATTTCTAATTATTGTGAATGACGAAGCAGTCTGGCTATTGACTCGTCAATTTTGATGACTTTAACGTCTTGCTGTCATCAAATATTTTATTATACAGACATTAAATAGATCATTTAGTTCATGGACCTCATTTTTAGTGATCGTTGTTGTTAAAAGGTTAATCATAAAAATTCTTCATTAAATTGAATTGTCTGTTGGATATTTAGTTTGTCTATTAAAACAATAAAGTAACTAATAATAATATCGCTGGAAAATGCATGCATGTCATTCATGCGCTTACTGCTATATATCGGATTAAGTTTGTTATCAGTGTTTCCTATCCCAATTATTATCTTGACTTTATCCCATTATTTGGTGTCGGCGCAGTATGTCAATTTACTCTAGTGTTTATCAGCACTCACATCTGCAATACTACTTCTAAATAAATATTTTTGCAGGTCAAAATTTGAACTCATCTTCTTTGGGGATAAGATAACGAATCGCATTAATTATTTCTTTCTTTTGCCCGCAGTCCGGAGCTACGACAAACACGACAAATGCGGCCTGGTGTGGATACCGCGCGTCGTCGCTTACCGATGTCGCACGTGCGGCATATCGCCGTGCATGTCCATCTGTCGCGAGTGCTTCCACCGCGGTGACCACTCGACGCACGACTTCAACATGTTCCTGTCGCAGGCAGGTGGCGCGTGCGACTGTGGCGACAAGTCTGTTATGAAAGAGGACGGGTGAGTTTTAAGGAATTTTCTTCTAAGTTAGATGACTTTAAATTTTAGACCACTATCGATAGAAGCATTTAATAAGCATTATATAGGCCTATATTCCAAAAATAAATAGATACATAGATAGAATATACTTTATTTGCAACGTACAGTAAAGATGAAGCACAAACAATATAACAAAGGACACATGTATCGTTAAAATATTACAATAAATCTGAGTAAAAGTAAAAAAAAAAATATGGCTGGTAATGGAATGATGCATCCGCCTGTGCGGATTTACGCTAGCGGGGCACCAGTGGAGGATGATAAGATGAGCATGAAGTCAGATCATCTTGACAAATAGCAAAACACCAGGATGGTTTCCACGTGGAGGTCAACCTCACATGGTACATTGCTAGCAATGGATTTATTAGTTCACATTACTAAATTTGTAACAACAACTTTGATATGACCATCGTATTGTGTTGTTTTTTTTTAAATACTGTTGCGGGTGAATATTACGATGTTGCTGGTCGAGACGATGTGTATTACATATGATGATAAACTGACAATGTATACATAGAAATAATGATCTTATATACTAAATAACAATAGGAAAATGTATGGTGGGGTGACACAGTTTAGATACAGCAGTGCCTAGTAGACAATATTGAATTTGTCTTACTAGACATTATTAAATGCAATTATTATTTTGATGTATCTAGGTGACTGTGTCCCATAGATATTCCCCCCTTGAGAGAAAAAAAAATATATATTAAACACAAAAAAAATATAAAAGTTAACTGTAAAATTTAAGATATTATGCACTTTAGTAACAATAAAAATTCATTATACCCAAATAACGACGTAAATCTTCGACTGTCGTGGGTTTAGGGTACTCGTCGATTGCTTGCCATTTTTCTTGCGTTGGTTTCATCCCTTGGCTCGTTATATGATAACCAAGAAAATCTAACTCATTTGTGAAGAACTCGCATTTGCTCATATTAATTGTTTGCGGCGAATAGTTTGATTTCGCTAGCGCTCTCTTTGGTCTGTGCTTGTGTTTTATTCACCGAGATTTTTGCTTTCGGTGTCCACCAAAATTCTATAGCCACTGTTAGAGTCGGTTATAGCTAGGCGGTTAGACGGATGAATAGCACAGCGTTCCGTCTTATTCTGCGTCGAATCTAGTTTTCCGACGGTTGTCTATAGGAGCGCGGCATGTCACGTTTGTATGCCTTTTCTTTATATTTGCGATGATATAATATAAATAATAGTCATTTTTCTGACTATGCAATGACCGTAGGTGCGAATTTGACCTAGATCGGTAGTTGCTGCGTCTGTTTGTGTGTGGCGAGCGCTTTTCGCGTATATCAGCAATTTCTGATCGCAGTGTTGCAATTAGTGACGACAGGTGTGCAATGACGTCGGCGGTGACTGTTGGCTGTACTTTTGTAGACAGCATTTTTGCTTTATTTTTCCAGCTTCAATTTTTCGTCCAGAGATTATATCCAGCAGGCAGTTGTGTTTACTGGGGGTCAGTAGCACGGCAGGATCCTTGTTGCGCAGTATTGCCAACGACTTTTATGCCTCTTGAATTTCCGAGCCGGTGAGACCCGCTTCTGGGAAGCCGGTGGAAATGTGCAATCGTTGGTGGTGCGCAGGATGCCGTCAGACAGAGATCTCTTGTTTGATCTCGTCGTTTTCCCAGGTATCGTCTCGACCACGTCGGCCAGATCACGTCGGGGTCACCACTGTTGCGGGTGAATAATAAGATGTTGCTGGTCGAGACGATGTATATTACAGATGATGATAAACTGACAATGTATACATAGAAATAATGATCTTATATACTAAATAACAATAGGAAAATGTATGGTGGGGTGACACAGTTTAGATACAGCAGTGCCTAGTAGACAATATTGAATTTGTCTTACTAGACATTATTAAATGCAATTATTATTTTGATGTATCTAGGTGACTGTGTCCCATAAATACCTGTAGTTGAAACTATATGGTCAAGATTTATTTTTATTTTTCTGATAGCTGCAGACTTGTCTTCTGCCTTCGGTTTATCGTCGACTTTTGGAACATTCTGTATATTCTGTATACTATGTGATGTAATTTAACTGAAACAAATTGACAGAATAAATTATATTTACTGGTCATATTATCCACTGTCTGTTCTCATAGCTAATTTTAGTTAGAAATTGTGTATTTTTACTGAATTTTAATTTTTGATATTTTGCTGACTTTGTTTACTTTTCTGCATGGTATGTATATTATATATGTATATTATTTAATTATAAAGTGTATTCAAAATATAATTGATATAATTGATCTCTGAAAGAGATCTCTTCAGCCAACCTAATGTTGTGACAGTGGTGGTAGTTACTGCACGATATTTGTAAAAACATAAATACAATATTCTAATATATACTTAAATACATATATATAACTCACAAAATATAATCGCAGTGGGAGCCTAAGAATTTATAAATCCAAATATACGTATCTAGAAAAAAACTGCGAAACAAATAAAGGATAAAAAAACTCAAAAAATATATAAGTAGTAAGAAAAGGTTAAATCATTACGTTTTTGAAGCGTACACTGAGTTGAAGATGCAAATATTTCCGAAAGGATTAATAAAAGTGTCACTAGTATACTGTGACGTCATACCAGAGCTAGTTATAACATAGAAAAATCAATGTAGAGTACAGGCAGTCCACGTACTCATGGCATGTTAGGTTCTTGAAATACGCGACGTAAATCCAGACATATTTTTTCATATAACATGTAAAACTCAAGGGTTATGATCCACACGGACTCCGAATAAAAAAAACTGCGTTTATAACAAAGATATACATACATTATCAAAAGTAAGTTCTTAAAATAATTATATATGTACTTATGAAATGGCTAGTTATTTTTATATTCTGTAAGCATCACTTACGAATTTTCTCACGAGACTACAGCATGGGGTTTTTCAAGAAGGGTATAATAAGGTTTCTTAAGGGTCGGCAACGCGCACGTGGCACCCCTGAAGCTTCAGGCGTCCATAGTCTACGGTAACCATTTACCATCAGATGGACCGTATGCTTGTTTGCCACCTTGTTTGTTTGTTCCGCGGTGAGATTGTACATTGGTATTCTGTAAAACTCGATAGCGAATGCAGTGCCACAACCTCGAGAGCGGGATGGAGGTAAAACTGGTGATTTTTTTAGAAATATTGGCAAACTCGATAACTTAGTAGGAACTTTATATTTGCCAATGGATACGAGTGCCTTAAGTGAAATGAGTACTGTATCCACTTATAGAGGTAGGTAACGCGACGGTTGTGGATCGCGGGGGCGGCGGTGACGTCATGCGACCTCTTGCGAGGCCAACAGGAAGAAGCCTACGTCTCGGCAAACACGGAACGGGTTGCTTAGATCAGTCGCTCCAAAAGTTATGAGGGGATGTAATAAATCGACACTGCGGTTATTATATATCTTATATATAAAATTCTCGTGTCACAGTTTTCGTTCCCATACTCCTCCGAAACAGCTTGACCGATTCTCATGAAATTTTGTGAGCGTATTGAGTAGGTCTGAGAATCGGCCAACATCTATTTTTCATCCCATACTCATGGGAACGAAAACTGTGACACGAGAATTTTATATATAAGATATACTTAGTAACCGCAGTGTCGATTTATTACGTCCCCTCATAACTTTTGGAGCGCCCACCACCACCACCCCCACCCCCAAATTTTTATTGCACCAGATAGGTACAGAGAGTAATGAAGAAAAATTACATACGAGTGCTGCTTGTAGGGACTGGTCTGCTCTTATCACTACGACTGATTTAATCTTATTCGGTCTTATTACAAAAAAATCTGTTAAAACTCGGACGAAACGTGGTCTAAATGGTCGTGGTTTAAACCATTCCTAAAGTTAATACTTGGAATAAACCTAACATTATTACGAATCCAGATCTAACAGAGGACTACTTAGTACTACAGTTAAATCGTTCATTATGTATTCCATACAGAAATCAGTCACTCATGTCTGTCACCGTACAATTACGTTCCATTTTACCAGAAAACTGAAAAGATCAAAAATAATATTAGTTCAAAGAAAAATGTATAAACTAAAAATAAATTTATTTCTATTTATCTATGTCTTCATTATAACTATTTCATTAATATATAATATTTGTTAATGTACTATTAGGCTGAAAATCAGTTTTAAATTACAAGTAGGAGTCCTATACGGAGAAAAGGAACGGCGAGATATTTTTATTGGATCGTTCGAATGGTGACTATTTCAAAGTCAAATGAGTGAAAAAATAACAAATAACGTCTTTTATATATTTTTATTGTCGTAAAATTTGCTTTAAATATTTTTAGTTAATATATTTTTAATTTAGTTAAACTATTTTTCCAAAAACTACAACTTACAATAGAATTTTTAAAATGGAGTTTGTATTTTTGCATTTAGACCACTGTTAAACTAGGGGCATCGCAGGTCTAACTTTAGACCATAGACGAATCACGATTTAGAGATAAACTTCATTTTGTAATAAGGAATACATTGGTGAATGGTTTATTACTAGTGCTAAACCAGGTTTATCTTTTTGTAATAAGGCCGATTGTGTTTATATTTGACCCTAATAAATTAGTGCTGGTTGGTAGTTTGTATTCACACATTTCGACTTGTAAAATGTGAACTTACAAGGATTATTTAAAAGAGCAACACACAAGTTTCTTGCTCGTTCTTCTTCTGATAACACAGCTTTGTGAATTAGCGGTAGATATAAAAAAAATTGTTATATGTATAGTTTATTTGAATAAATGATTTTCTATTCTACTTGTACTGATACAAAAGACGGTCCTATCAAATCAAATCAAAATATCTCACTGTAGGTCTATTACAGACTTACGAAATGGCAAATCTACCACCTATGCACCTAACGTCTTAGACATATATTTTTATTGCACAGATGTTTAGAAAGAATGGAGAAGAAAGCGAGCATCAGCCAAAAG